GTTGCTTCTGTTAGCTTTCGTCACTCTGACGTCTCAGGCTTTAAACTTTTGCCCACCTCATCTGGGACCTCATGTATAAACGGTGTGTACGCACAAAAATGTTGTGTGCGCCAGATTCTACGCCCACGTTGGAATGTATCAAAACCAACTTTGCGTGAAAGTGTGCATATATTTACGCACACTTTTCACCTGCCGTGAGAATGTGCAGCAGCCACGCAAAGTTTTTCAGTCGACAGTTTTAACTCACAAAGTCACAAATCTGACCTGAATCCACAGAAATATGACTCTGTTGTGTTTTCTGGATGTAAGGAGCGTCTAAACACGGTGTTAGATTTTATTTTAGTTTGAGTTTTTATTGTTTAAACTTGGAACGATGATGAAACTGAACCCTGGGACTGAAAATCATTTAACCTCAGACAAGAAAATAGATCAGTCTAAAAATGATCAAAGAACCTCCAGTCTGTAAACTGTAAACTGTAAACTGTTTATATTGTCGTCACGTAGTTGGAAACACACGCAGAGCGCAGGCCTGCGGAACGCACACACAGCTGAGGAGAATAAAATGTGTTAACTGTCTAAGAAACATTTTTAATTTTCACTGAGGAAAAACGTCAACACAGCATATTCAGCTGTGATGATTCCTCTGCTCCAGAAAACACAATAGATTTATTGCTGCGTAAAGTTGTGCGTATCGATCCATGTCAGCTGTTCCCAGTCCCACACCGCGCGCCGGGTACCATCAGTTTTTTTACGGGATGAGTCGGAGGAGGACGGGCGCGTTCTATATTTTTTACAAGTGTAGGAAATGTGCGTTTCTTCACATCAACTATTTAACAAATATTTTTCTAAGTTCTACAAAAGTCACAACTTCCTCTGTGTTTACAGTCATTTGTTAAAGAAGTGTAAAGGTGGAAATGTCTCTCAGCCTCATACGCCACTGAAAATAACAGCACACACGCGTACACACCAACACACACCTTTGCGTGTGGCAAACTCATTTTTACAGCCCACTACTTATTTAGACAGTTTTCTCACTCATTCTCCATTTAATGTATAATTTTCCTGCATCTAAAAATCATTTCTGATCCCACAGAGAGGACAATCTGAGGAGAATCTCACACTCTGGACACATTTACATCTATTTTACATATTTAAATGGAGGCGTGTCAGGGGAGGAGTCTCAGGTGCGTGAAGTTCCACGTTCATTGGGGTGTATAAAAAAAAGGTGTGCAGGAACTTGTGTGTGCACAGTTTTATACATCTGAATGTTTTGGTGCGGAACACTTTTCTAAATTTGTCCGTACGTCAACTTTTAGTGTGAAAGCTCCTTTATGCATGAGGCCCCAGGTTACGCAGCAGCCTGCTCCTCTTTGACATAAATAATCAGAATGTGCATCAGTGGTGGTTTTTATTGCAGTTTTTGTTTGTAAGCCTTTTTTATCTTAAACGAAACCCACAGAAACAAATGTTCTTCTAAACAGGTTCGAATAAACTGCTTCCCTGCAGACATGAAATGAACTTGGACAAATACAACACAACAGCAGTGAAATAAAAATAAACATTTTCCATCTGCATTCCATTTCCATCTTGGAACACTGGACCAGCTCTACAGCCTCAGCAGGGTCCAGGAGGGTACATGGGAGTTCGTCCAACCGGTCTACATGTGTTTTGTGGACTTGGAGAAGGCGTTCGACCGTGTTCCAAGGGGGGCCTTGTGGGGGGTTCTCCGGGAGTATGSGGTACCGGGCCCTTTGATACGGGCTGTCAGGTCCTTGTACGACCGGTGTCAGAGTCTGGTCCACATTGCTGGCAGTAAGTCGGGCTCGTTTCCAGTGAGAGTTGGACTCCGCCAAGGCTGCCCTTTGTCACHGATTCTGTTCATTACTTTCATGGACAGAATTTCTAGGTGCAGCCGAGGTGTTGAGGGGATCCGTTTTGGTGGACTTAGGATCGCATCTCTGCTTTTTGCGGATGATGTGGTCCTGTTGGCTTCATCGGAACGAGATCTGCAGCTCTCGCTGGAGCGGTTCGCAGCCGAGTGCGAAGCGGCCGGGATGAGGCTCAGTGCCTCCAAATCCGAGGCCATGGTCTTGAGCCGGAAAAGGGTAGAGTGCCTTCTCCGGGTCAGGGGGGTCGTCCTGTCTCAAGTGGAGGAGTTTAAGTATCTGGGGATCTTGTTCACGTATTGGGGAAGAAGGAGAGCGGGAGATCGACAGGCGGATTTGCGCAGCGTCTGCTGTAAAGCGGGCGCTGTACCGGTCCGTCGTGGTGAAGAGAGAGCTGAGCCAGAAGGTGAAGCTCTCGATTTACCGGTCGATCTACGTTCCTACCCTCATCTATGGTCATGAGCTTTGGGTCATGACCGAAAGAACGAGGTCCCGGATACAAGCGGCCGAAATGGGTTTCCTCCGCAGGGTGGCTGGGCTCTCCCTTAGAGATAGGGTGAGAAGCACGGTCATCCAGGAGGGACTCAGAGTAGAGCCGCTGCTCCTCCACGTCGAGAGGAGCCAGTTGAGGTGGCTCGGGCATCTGGTAAGGATGCCTCCTGGACGCCTCCCTGGTGAGGTATTCCGGRCACGTCCCAMMGGGAGGAGGCCCCGAGGAAGACCCAGGACACGCTGGAGGGACTATGTCTCTCGGCTGGCCTGGGAACRCCTTGGAGTTCMCCCGGAGGAGCTGGAAGAAGTGGCTGGGGAGAGGGAGGTCTGGGCCTCCCTTCTGAAGCTGCTGCCCCCGCAACCCGACCCCGGATAGGTGGAAGAAAATGGATGGATGGATGGATGGATGGATGGATGGACATTTTCCATCTGCATGATAAACTCCAGCTTTAAAGATGTGCTGAATGTCAGGCTGTAAAAAAAACTAAAAAAAAACTAAAAACAAATCCCTCTCTGGTCCCATCCCATAAAGGAATGCATGTTTCCTGTCTCGTTACGTTAGATTTAAGCAATCTTACTTAATGACTTTTAGCTACTAATACATTTCAGCTCAACGTCTGAAAAAAAATTACTGAGTCGTGTTATGTTGGCTGTGGCGGCCATGATGAATCAGGTTGGCTCCAAAAGTCACACAGTTGTAGATGAACATGAAGAAATGTATTGGGGTTTGCTTATCTACTGATTTTAAATACACTACACAATGTTTAGTCTTTTTATTAGGTGAACGGTAATATCTTTGTATAACATTGTTCTTTCTGCTTGATTTTGATTTTATGTAGATACATGCTTGAACACAGAGTCAACACATAACAGAACTGTTAATCCTCATTAGGATAGAAAATCTGTACAAGGTCCTGACTCTCAGCTGTAGGGTGGCCCTTTTCTAGATAATGCAATGACAATATGCGGAATCAGGTCCTGAAGATTATGTTATACAGTGGATAAAATAAATATTGAACACGTCACCATTTCTCTCAGTAAATATATTACTAGAGGTGCTAATGACATGAAATTTTCACTGGATGTTGGTAACAACCCAAGTGATCCACACTGTAAAAAATGAAATGTTGGATTTACTTAACCATGTTATGTTACCTGGTTCCACTTAACTGAGTTGAGTAAATTCAAAGCAATATACCAGTTTTTTAGCCAAAGAACACGAGTATGTTGCTTTGAATTTACTCAACTCAGTTAAGTGGAACCAGGTAACAAAACATGGTTAAGTAAATCCAACATTTCATTTTTAGAGTGTATACATACAAAGAAATCAAACCATGATGTTCCCACCTCCAAACTTCACTGTTGGTATGGTGTTTTTGGGCTGATGTGCAGTGCCATTTGACCTCCAAACATGATGTGTATTCTGG